GAGTAGCCGTATCCGCATCGGCCTCCTTGAGCCTGTCTTGACACCTACTGAAGCTGAGTGAGGGTAAATAGTGCGGTAGTACCCTCGCAAAGTCTACTGTCTACTTCTGTAGACTCCATGACTGAACATACGGCAGGCAGACCGCGCCTTTGTCTGTTCAAGCTGCATGCTATACTCAGCTCTGTAACCCTGAAGTGTTAATTAAGACAATCAGTGTCATAACTAAACGGAGTAAATTGAAGATAATACATACGATTTGTCCCTGTTCTTCGCCATGTTGTCCGAAAAAGTGGCTGGCCATATCAATCGTTGGTCCGACAAATTGGAGTCCACTGTACACCAAAAGTTGCCCGAGTAGTCGGTATTCAGGGCACCATTAAAAGTTTGGAGGAATTTTTAAAAATGAGGAGTTCAAAGCAGGCTTAAGTACATGCAGAATAAAAACACATTTCTTAAAATGTTAATTTACCAAAGCATCCTGGGCAGTTTTTCCTAGGTTTTTTTTCGAAGGTCCTTAAGATATTCGTGTCTCAAAGGCCACCGAGAAACCATTTTTGCAAAAAAAAATGATTCAGACTCCTCCAAAGCATGCTCCGTAACCGACTTTGCTTTGCTTTGCTTTATTTTTTTTAATCAGTTAGTCCTCTTTTACAACCCGCTTTTATTTTTCCCCTAGCCTCAAGTGCTGCCTAAGGACGACGCTTTCGCCTTTGAATTGCTCACCTCACAGAATCACCTGCCCAAAAAAGGTCACTTCATCTGCTGCGTTTGTCTTAAACCGGGCCACCTGCCGGTGAAATTGAAGGAGAAGTCGACTGATGACAAGGCTGATAACAACAAGGAAAAGACTGGTAACAAAAAGACCCTCTTCCTAAAGAAGGCTAGTCGTCGGGGTGCTTTCCGTTTTCCCCCCATCATCCTTAATCGACCCCTCAACCTCAAGACTGTGAAGCCAGCAAATCCGACGAAACGAATGCAAAGACAACAACAGCAGAAGCCGAAGAGGACAAATCGGGTCAGCCCTAGTTGTCCGCCCCTCGTCCCCTGCAGTGGACGCTGCTCGCACTTCCTGCATGTTGATTGCATCAACTACGCTGCATCCGCTAAACCGGAGCCGGCGGGCGCTCCGGTATCCCCACAACGAACCAAGGCTTTTTGTTTCTTCTGCAGAGCCGGTCTCCGTCAATGCTCTATTTGCATGGTAAGTATGTGCGGGTTAGTTTCCATCCCTCATACTTCGCTCATGGCTGTATTGTGACTCATTTGGTCTCTTGAACCGTCTAATATACCTTTCTTTTGTGTGTGTGTCCTCGGTATACCACGGGTAAACATAAACGCTGTGTGCTTCCAAATTGAATTCTCAGCTTGACAATCCTGATCAGTTGTTTTGCCAATCGACTTTAGGTCTGGTAATGTCTCTGATGATGGGTTTTAGTAGAAATCCGAAATGGCAGGCGAATACAGTTCTTGTCGCAGTGATCGTGCCTACTTCTTCCCGACTTTAGGTTTTTTTTCCGTGCATATTCCGGTAGGGGGTCAAACTCACTACCCATCTGGATACGGGTTTACTTTTCAAGTTTTCCAGGCCAGTTCCCCTTCTCCTTACCGGTAGTAATTGATGCTCGTTTAATAGTCTTCGCTATGTGGACAGTTGCTAGGTCTCTAAACTGGGTCTGCAGGGTAAAGCGGAGCACAACTATTCCGTCCAGTAATAAGGCTATGTTGCTGCGCTCCGCTTTCAAGTGGTTAGTATATTTATGAGTGATTATTAGTTTGGACATATCCTTGATACAAGTACTGGCCGAAAGCTCAAACTTCTAATTCCTCAGTTTTCTGGTGTAATTGTCAGCGCCGCTGTCGCTGCTTTACGAGGCGACTGCGAGATTTTTTTCCGTGTCCTCTATTGTTCTTAGCGTGTATTTGAGTTTTTAACCGTCAAGATTAAACGGCAAAAAGTTATGTGTGGACTCTGATTAAAGTCCTTGGGACAGACGTTTATAGTTTCGACCTCAAAGTTGTTATGGATACTTCAGTTGTGTTCCATAAAAGCCACTAGGCTAATCGCATAACGTTCACAATTACAAATTTGGTAGGTGCAGTCTCTGTTCTCCCTCTTCTCTGCACTTATGACTTGGCCGACTTCGGTCTGGTCGCTGGTTGACTATTCGTGATCTATGCCACATATACGCAGCTCATTTCATTTGAGAAGTCAGTAAATAAGTGTGCGCCCATCCCTAATTTAATAGATACCGATCTGCAGCAACAGAGCATGACAGCTGGCGAGGCTCTGGTGAAAGTTGGTTCGATGAACTGCTTATGATCCATCTGCGCCGTGTACGAACGCAGACTTGTGTTTTCAGTCCCGGCTGGTAGTCAGGGTTATGATTGGTTGAATGAACGCCGACTAAGCCCGCAACAGAATAACAACCTATCCATCTTTTTACTATCGTCCCTCCTCTCTTTAATTATAGCTCGGCCAACTTCAGCCCGGTATTTGGTTGCCTATTCGTGAGTTATCCTACCAATACAATGCTTGTTTGATTCGGTGGTTACGGTGTCATATTTGTTGGAACGAATGCTTTGTGGTTCATTGGCCAAATTGGTTTAGTTAAGACCCGCATGTCTTACCTATCGACCATTTCTGTGGTTACAATAAGGGTTGCAGGCCTTAACCAAGGATTCATTCCGTTAAAACCAAGTTTGTGCTTTAGGAACCGTTTAATTATGTTTCGTTTTATAGTATTTTAAGCTTATGAGCCTTTCGATATCCCATCGCTATAATAAGGACTAAGTGGCTTTGTTCCATTTTATCATATATTATTATTACTACTACCACTACTTCTTCTAATGCTACTGCTGCCCTTTTTCGTAAATTGAAGGGGGTACAACCGATTGCTAGTGGAACACACCACGAGACCCCAGATCAAGACGCCGCCGAGCACCACAATGCGGCCCACTCCGAACCCGATACTGACGCGGAAGGAGTATCACACAGCAATGGCTTCCCTTCTGCAAAACTCCTACCACCCATGCAGGTCTGCTCCGTAAGTCACTGCCGCCGCTGGTTCCACTCCACCTGTCTCCGTCAGCAGCCGTTTGCTGCCCTTGTGCGTGATGGCCGTGCAGCCACTTTCACTTGT